GTTGTACGAAAATTCTAATATTCTCTTATTTAGAAATACTTAATTAATATTTGTATCTAACAAATTTTTATAGTTAAACTTGCAAACAATTTGATAATCAAAGTATTACAAAAAAAGGTAAAAAAGTATAAAATAAATTTTAAATAACATTTTAAATGCAAATAGGAAGAGTTGTAAAATTATTAAGAAAAGATACAAAAAAATAAAATAAAGGTAGAGGTATTGCAAAATTATTAAATGCCCACATTTAATTATGTACTGCTGCCCCAGCTACATGTGTCACTCAAGTCTATAAATGTCGAGCAATATATTTAATTAATTTGAACTTGCATATAATTGCATTATGTCTGGTTGTTAAATATAGATTATAAACTTTAATTATTATAGCCATTTTAAAAGAAACTAGTACAACACCCGTGTATTACACGGGTGATTGTTAAAAAATTATTATTAAATTTTAAAATTAATGAGAAAACTATATTAAATTTAGTTTACTTTTTCTTTTAAATATATTATTATATATTTTAGAATGATATGTGTTACTTATGACTTATTATATATTATATTAGTTTTTAAAACTTATATCATATAACTACTTGAAATATAAATATATTAGTTGATAAATAATTATATTTTTTCTAATTAATATTAAAAATAATTTTATTATTGTTATAAAGATAAATATAATTTTTTTTTTTTATATACATACAATATGGATGTTAAATCGAAGCTCATCAAAAGAAGATTAATTTGATATATTACATATGTAAAACTGATAAAAAATACAAAAGTTATTAACTTTTAAAATATATATACAATTCAATAGTTATAATAAGGAATGATATTAAAATACAATTAATACATGTAACATGACCATAAATAATCAACATATTTATGGTAATACGAACCTAATTATTTTTAGTTTGAAATTAAATTAAAATTTACCCAAGCCTAATAACGAAGCATGTAATTTTGTCACATAGGATTCCGAAGCACCAGAAGCAGCCACGTAGGCTCAGCGCGTTCTGTATTAATATATAGGGGAGGAGATAGGGGGATATTCGCCACGATTAATTAATTAATTAATTAATTAATTATGTCATATTCTGATTAACAATATAATACTACCTCCTATTCTTTTTAAATGTCATTTTAGCTTTATCAACTATTAATTAAATAAATATCGTTTTGGGTCTTTTGTACATGTTTTTCCCATTATTACCCTCATTGAGTCAATAAATACACTACGTCTTTCCATATTCACTCTTCATTTTTTCTTAAAACATTCATCTCTTTCTTCATTAAATAGGGTTATTATTGACAACAAAAATATTCTTAATTATTATGCAACTTCTCAAAACGACATTTATTTTGAATAGGAGGGAATACATATTTTTCCTTGGAAAATAATCAACATAATACAAAATTTATATGTTGTGACAACTAGGCCTAATATATATATGTTCATTTAGATGGTGGACCATATGACATAAATTAGTTCACATGGTTATGGAGATGCAATAATGGAGAAGCAGTGGATAAAATACTAATTAATCCAATTAAGTATATTATGACAATATTTTTAACGTTTAATTATTATTTTGTATTGCTTCTAATCCTCAATTGCCGTGTAATTGCATCCATTTGATCTCACATCTTACTCAAATCAATGTGATATAGTAATTATATACATTTGATTAAAAAAAGTCAAATTAATTAACATATATTTGTAAGAAACAGGAGAAAAAACGAGTGCGGTCTCACACAGATGAAGCGCACAAAGACAGATAAAGTCTAAATGAAACACAAATGAGGTTCCATCTCAAAACCAATTGGTGGAATAAGGAGTAGCCCATTAGACTTTTAAATTAAGCCAATTTTTCATATATAAACGATGTGGGACAACTCACATGTGAATATTCTAATGCGTCGTAAGAAGCCCAAACCCATATACGGAGACGGGAAAATGGGTACGTCATCACACGTAGGGATGAAAACGGTGCGGTGCGGTGCGGATAATGCCTTTCCCACATCCTAATCCATTTTATTTTTGCGGATTTGGAGCGGAGCGGATATTGGGCGGATACGGATGTGGATGCGGATTGTTTCGGATATCAGAGATGGTACGGATTTGGAGCGGAAGCGGATCGAATGCGGATTTATATAGTCGGATAATACATGCTTCTACTCAACTCTTTATGACGAATAATAATTAATAAAGCAAAGTTGCAAGAAAAATTAAAAAGAACACAAAACATTGAGTTCCTTAGGTACTTAGCTAACGAGACGAGCCAAGTACATAGCTAGTTCACAACTAGCTAAGCTAAACCATTAATAATTAAGCAATACACTCGCTATACAAAATCATAGCCTAATAGTCATAGGTCCGAGCTATATATAGATGCATCATGCATGCAGTGATGCAGATATATAGATCTCTTCTGGGTAGGGATTTGTATCATCTATCCAGTGGGGATCGACATATACATGATCTACACCAAGGCCCCAAAAGATCCATACAGCCACGATGGTCCATAGATGCTAGAAAGATCATGATGATGCCATCGATCTTCTAGGAGATAACTCATTCGTTCACCAACAAAACGATTCGTACATGTGCGGTGTGCCGGCCTGGAGTGAGGCTGGCTGTAGAAAGTCAAAACTGGAAGAACAATTACAAGATTGGGTAAAAAAATAGTAAAATGCAATACCATACCTAGTGCTGACTTATTGTGTTGAAGAAAACAGTAGCACGCACGAAAGTAGCGGCGACCGGGGAACGAAGATGCAAATAGATATCGCTGACAGCGACCTGCATGCGAGATGATTGTGGAACCAGCCGCCGTATCCTTAGCTTTTAGGGTGTCTGCCGATGAGTAATTTTATATGGTTTGTGTGGGCTAGTTGGACCCGAATTATATTATTTAGGGCTATGTAAAATAATCGGATATCCTCTTATAAAGGTCGGATAATCCACTTTAAATTGTCGGATAATCCATATCCACCGGATATTGCCAATACCATATCCTCCTCCATATCCGCAACAATCGGATGCGGATTATCCATATCCTCATGGATATCTAAAACCTTAATCCATATCCTCGTAACGCGGATTCGGATCGGATCGGATGCAGAAATTATCCACCCCGCTTTCACCCCTAATCACACGATCCCAATAGAATCGGCTCTAATACCATGTAAGAAACGGAGGAATACGGGTGTGGTCCCACACGTGAAACGCACCAAGACATGGAAATCCCATATGAAGCCTAAATGAAGTTCCATCCCAAAACTCATTGGTGGTAGGAGGAGAAACTCATTAGACTTATAAATTAGGCATACTTTATTTATATTAACGACGTGAGACAACTCACAAGTGAATATCCTAATATATATCGACTAAGTGCAATCTTCGGAGGTCCCCCTTGAGTCCGTTTTTCGAGCCCTCCAGTGTGTTCGTGGCGGATTCTCCTCCTTCCCCAGCACTGGAGATTTAAATCGAGAACGGTCTTTTTGGCAATTCTGTCTAGGCGATTCGAGTTCGGCTACAATTTTTTGGGTCCGAGGTCTAGATTTGTTGCTTTGATGTGGTTCTGTGGTGCGGTGTGTGACTTGGTGTCATCAGTTTGGGTGGTTTTGGTTCATCGACTAGGATTAGGGTAGGTTTTATTATAATTGCTTATTAGGTGTGTGTGTGTTTTTTTTTTTTTGTCTTTCTGTATTTTTATTTTGTTAAGTCCAGTTGCGTCTAGCGTCTAATCTCTTCATAGAGTTTGGGTCTCCTCTATGAATTTTGTTTTGTAGTTTCTCGTGTTTCCTTGATGGAGTAATTTGTACTCTTTGAACACATATACAGTTTCAAGGAATGTGGTCCAGACTTTGTTTTGATATCTTTGATGTTAGTTGACACCTCGTACTTCATTAAATTTTTAAGTTAGTACTACCTTCTATTTTTAATATATATCGTTTTGAGAGGTTGTACATTAATTAAGAATATTTTTTTGGTCAATAATAATCTTATTTAATGAAGATAGAGATGAATGTTTTGAGAAAAAAATGAAGAGTGAATATGAAAAGACGTAATGTATTTATTAGCTAAATGAGAGTAATAATGGAAAAATATGTACAAAAGATCCAAAACGACATTTATTTAACAAATAGTTGATAAAGCTAGAATGATATTTAAAAAAAGTAGGAGGGAGTAATATATTTGCTTTTAAAAAAAAAAAATTACGATGTTCTATATCTTGGAATTAGCAAATAACTATTGGAATTAGCAAATAAGTCTGCTAAGATATTCTCAATCTTCTATTTGAAAGAACCTATGGCTAATGTATCACGAAAAGCCAAATAAGAAACAAAAAATAAAAAATAAAAAAATCTTAACGGTCACAGACCTAATAAAGGACAAAGTAGAGAGGTCCATTATTGGGCTTACGGCCCACCTTATTACCTTCAGTCTATCATTGTAGATATATGAAGAGTGCAAAGGCCCATTTGATCTCAATAACAAGGTGGACCAATCATATACTCCATGTGAAATCATCAAACCCAATGAATCAAATATATATCATTGATCCATGATCATATATAAGACCGGGAAATGCTACGGTCTCATTACGAAACTATTTTTTAAAATTTATAGCAGTTAGATTATCATGTAACCGTAAGGAATAGTTGATCTGATAGTTACAAATCCTAACGGAATGGTTCCGTAACGGACCTATAAGACCATATACAAGAGACTATACTTTCTCTGGCTATTTTAAGGAGTTAACAAGAATCTTGAATTAACAACACAAGATAATACTAATTGCCAAACATGAACTCTCAATAACTCCATAATAACAAAACAGCATGATAAAACACCAGATCAATTTACAACAACATTTTGTGTTTTTTTTTTTTTTTACCTCTCTTCTGACAGATTAAGCACTAATTGATTTCCCCCCATTTTTTTTTTCTTTAGTTTCTTGATAATATCAAGTTCAATTAGTTGATTAGTTATCCATATGCATTTGGATAACCTTGAGAATGGCCTGATTCAAGATCGATTCATCGACTTGATCAGCTTTGACGATAGCCTCCATACCGAAAAAGTGCTTGCTCGTGAGCTTCGCTTGCAAGACGACTACGTTCATCTCCTCAAACGCCTCAAGTATCGAGACCAACAATTTTTCGCCTTTCTTGCATGTTATCCTCACCAGTAAATATCCCATCCCAATCTTCTCCACTTTCACTTCCTAGTCACGAGCCATCGTACGCGATTCAGTTAGGGTCGTCATTCTTTTTTTTTTTCCCGAAGAAAAACCGAATAATAATACCAACATCCGTAACTTTTTTGTTTTTATATATAATAAAAATACATATTTACTGCCACAATCAAACTATATACATATTTTTCGTAACAATACACTTAAAAAAAAACACATAATTACAAGTTCGCGAAACCAGCTAAAAAAAGGCACATAATTCCACAATCAAACTATATTGCTTTTCATATTTTGAGTTAATTGACTATTTAACTCGTTTCGAAAAGTATGACAGTTCATAATATATAAAAGTATGCGCATTTCGAATAGTATGACCGTTAAACTTGCTTAACTGAGCATCGAAATGTCAAATAGTATGGAATAATATAAGCATACCTGGATATGATTTATAAGGTTTTGGTACTCTTTCTGGATTGCTTCAACTTGGAGCTTCAAGTTTCTGATATAGAAAAAGGCATCCATGATGATGGAGCTCTTTTTCACCTTATAATAACAAAAACATAACCCAAATTAGTCAATTTAAATGCATTTAATTTATTACCTCTAAATAAATTACTTGACAATAATAATAATAATAATAATAATAATAATAATAATAAGTAACAATTAATTTAGTATACATACTGATTTTGATTTGGTGAGGGCTCTGAGGATTTGAAGCTTTTTGTGCATTGCCATTCTCCTATGTATCTTATTATTACATGCCATTTTTTTTTTTTTAATTTAATATTTTTCTTTTGTGTTTGTCTATATAATATGAGTGTGGATTAATATTGGTAGCTTTTTATAGAGATTGGAAATTGTTAAGGGAATGTGAAGATATGTTCTGACAGGCTTGTTTTTGTCTTTTTGTGAAACTATATACAGTAATAAATTCTAAAAGCTAACAATAATTATCTAATATATAGTACAATTATTTATTAATACATGACATGATTGATTGAAAAGATCTCTAGCTCACTCCATATGTATGTGTATATCACCAAAATCTTATGTTTTTAAATAAAATAGATACTCATTAATAAATATCATAATTTTTTTTTTTTATATGCTGTTTATGAACAATGACATTTTAGTTTTGAAAATATGTACACATGAGATAGTAGATAGTATGATTGTCTGACTGTTAAATCTATTTTACAGCAAATTCACTGCATAAGTGGATATAATAGGTTTTATGTTTGGTAAGCCCAATCGTTGTTCTGGTAAACTTTTTTCTTCATACATTTGTATATTTTTATCAGAAAATATCACATTTTAGCAAAGACAAAAAAGTAACATAGCTAAAGCTATGATAATTAATAGGATATATATGCATTACAAAGTGGTAGGAGGAGACGAGGAGTAGCCCAATAGACTTATAAATTAGACTTATTTTCCTTGTAATAGACGATGTGAGACAACTTATAAGTGTATATTCTAACACGCTCTCTCAATTGTAAGTCTTTCATATGAGGTCCAAGCTCAACTTGGTTGTGTGATGGGTACGTCATTGCACGGTCCCACGGAGGCGCAAGCACAACTAGGCTGGGTGAACCGACTCTGATACTATGAAGAAACGGGGGTTGATGGGGTGCGTGGGTACGTCATTGCACGGCCCCACGGAGGCGCAAGCACAACTAGGCTGGGTGAACCGACTCTGATACTATGAAGAAACGGGGGTTGACGGGGTGCGTG